ATGTTTTTATTATTTTTTGTAGAGACAGGGTCTTGCTATGTTGCCCAGGCTGGTCTCAAACTCCTGGCCTCAAGCAGTCATCCTGCCTCGTCCTCCAAAGTGCTGGGATTACAGGAATAAGCCACTACACCTGGCAGATGTTCTATTTTTGATGAGACATTGTCATTGTAGCTTTCTTCACTGCTTTAAACATGATTTCCTTTTGTACTTTGAAAATATTTATAATGGCTCCTTTGAATTCTTTTTCTATTACATTTAATGTTTGGGCCCTCTCAAAACCAGTTTCTTTTGGCCACCTTTTTCCTGTGTGTGGGTTACACTTTCTGTTTCTTCACATGTCTCATGATTTTTTGTTGAAAATTAGACATTTTAGGGAATATATATTATGGGAATTCTGGGTATTAATTTTCCTCCTCTGGGACTTGTTTTAATTGTTTGCTTGTTTATTTGTTTAGTGACTGGGCTAAACTATTTCGATGAAATCTATCTTCTCTTGCAGTATGAAGCCTTTGTCCCTCCTCAGAAAAACTCAGTCTTGGGTGTGCCTATTATGTTGGGAGGATGGTGGTTTTAGCAGGGCTCTCTTTGTCTCTTTCCCTGATCTCTCTCTGTAGCTCTCTGCTTCATTTGGTACCACACTCACCTAATTAGGCTCCACTAATTGCTGGCTGACTGCTGTATTTTCAACAGTGCCCTGGGACAAAAATTTCTCCACAGTCTGATCCAATTACATTTGTGCAGGTGTAGGCATTGAGGCCAGTCTTTGAAATTTGTTCTGAATCCAGGAGGGCTCTTCTTATTTGTCTCTTTGCCTGGTTCTTTCTTAAGAACTAGTTGGCTTACGTTTAGCTTATTGCTCTTAATTAAGAGGAGCTTGTTTCAGGGGTGCCCTTTGGCTTGAACTTCCCCACTTTATTTATGTTTCAAATAAAGTCAGTTCCTTTGGGGAAAGCTTTAGAGCTCTCTTTTCCTATGGACTTCCTCTCCCTGGACAAAATCTTTGAGCCACATCCTGGGTGGGTGCCCAGCTATGGAGGTAGCCGCTGTTCATTTTGGCTTACTTTCCATTGTGGACCCTCTGCTGTACTGATGAGCTGGGGCGCGGGAGATTGTACTTGGCAGAGAGTTCAGTGCCCCTGAGATAGAACCTCTGTCCTATGAGCCGGGGCTTGGTGGAGAAAGGGAGCCCAGGAACATTCTGCCACACTCAAGTGGGAGGGAGCCCTTTGTTCTTGGCTGCCCCCGCCTGGAATGAAGTTTCCATCAAGCTGAGCTAAGGGTATGGAAGGGAGGAAGGAGATAGTGGCTCAAATGCCTTAGATGTTCTTGAATAAATGTTTCCTCATTTGCTGTATGCCATTAGGACAATTTCCAGAGACCTTAAATGATTGATTTTTTTATAGTTCTCTCCAGTTTTGATTGTCTCACGAAGGAGTGGGTATCCAAGACCTTATGCTATCTTCCTTTAAGTCTACCATGTCATTCTTTTTCTTTTTGAAATTTGAATTGTGGTAAGCTATACATAACAAAATTTATCATCTTAACGATTTTTAAGTCTACAGTGCAGTTGTTTTTAAGTATATTCACCTTGTTCTGCAACCAGTTTCCAGAACTTTTTTATATTGCAAAACTGAAACTCTGTAACTATTAAACATTAACTCCCCACATCTCCCTCCTCCACCATTCTACTTTTTGTCTCTATAAATTTGACTACTCTAGTTACTTCATCTAAGTGGAATGATACAATATTTGTTCTTTTGTGAGTGGTTTGTTTCACTTTGTGTGATGTCATCAAGGTTCATCTGTGTTGTAGCATGTGTTGGAATTACCTTCCTTTTTTAAGCTGAATAATATTCC